ATGTCTTAGTTTGAAAAGAAAATTATGAAAAATGAGAGTGTGAGGGACAGTCAATGTCTCAGTATAGAAAGTGATCCCTTAACATAGGAAATAAAATCAGAAAAATAATGATAAGCGTTGTAATCTGTATTTTAAGGAGAGAGAGACAAAGTTGAGGAATGAGAGATCGCTTAGTTGTCGGATTTGATTAGGTTGGAAAATTAAATTTATGAATGTTAATTTTGGAAACTAAAAGTTTTGAGCGGCAAAAATTTTTTACGAGCTAATATGGTACGTCGAATCGAAACAATTTGAGACGTTAATAGCTTGAAACAGTTTAAAATGTCGTCGGCATTGGATGATGCCTTTTTTGATTACAAAAACGATCTGAACCGCTCTTTTTTCTTTTAAATTTAAAATCGTTCTACTTTATTATATAGATTACAAATTATATATGTATTAATTATATATATATATATATATATATTTATTTATTTATTTATTATAAAATATGTATTTATGTTTTTACAATCATCTCACTTTTCTATCCTTCTTACCAAATACCAAATGAAAAAGAAAAAAAATTTCAATCTTCTATTTTTTCATCCCCAAACAAAACACATCATTAATATTATTTGGTATAAGTTAACCGTTACCATGAATATTTTCTCGTAGATTCCACAACGATGGTTGGTTTCCACAACACAATCCAAGTGAGAAACAAAACATTCATTAAACCTTTTCCCTTAGTTGGCTTCACGTGACCAAACCCATCCCTCCCACCCTCCCTACCTCCCCAAATGCACCCTCACTCCTCTTCGTCTTCTTCTCTCCCTCCACAACCCATGAAAAGCAGAAACAACAAACCAACCACCCAAAACACACAGACCCGTCTCCATCCATCTCTCCTCAAACAAAACAAAACCGCCTCCTACCCACCATTTCTGACCCCATTCTGAGACACAACCCAGAGATCAGAAAAATGTGTTATGTGGGTAAAGCGACCAAGATCTTCATCTTCATCATCACAGTTCTTGTGGTCACCGGCCTTGTCTTGGGATTTGGGCTTCTAAGGCATGCCGTACAGAAATCTCATAAATGCTCCGGCGACTCTTGCCGGGATTCCTCCAGAGTTTTCCCCGATCCCAACCCTGTTAATCCCTTCTCTAATCCAAGTCCCAACCCAAGTTCAAGCCCAAGCCTAAGCCCACCTCCACCTCCACCTCCACCGCCACCTAACTCAAACCCTAGCTCAAATCCGAGCCCTCCGCTACCGCTACCGCCACCGCCTCCATCTCCTCCTTTGCCTCCACCACCGCCGCCGGTTGTTGCAACGGCTCCACTGCCATTGATCAGTCCTCCGAGCCCAGTGTTGGTCACTCCAGGTCCCGTGCATTCTTAATTGATCCGTTGTTTTTATATTTTTTCAATGATTTTTTCTCCTTGTTTGGATAATTCTTAGATGGGTTTTTTTTTTTGTATAGATCAGATGGATTAGTGCTGTTCATTAATTCTCTGGATTAGAGCAGGGGAAGTAACGTTTTATTATCTCAGTACAATTGTGTGGTGTGATAGTTGATTTTGCGACATTTGAATTTGTATCGAGTACTAATCGATCTTAATTGACTGAATTAATTATGACCAATGACTTCGATTATCAAAAATCACCTTAACCAATATCAAATTTATTATTAATCATACCGTGTTTAGCATGACACAAATTACTTGTAACCTGATTCAATTCACTATTCG